CCTGTTGGTAACAGTGAAGGTTGCTTCTGTTATTTGTATCTCCCTGTTGGTAACAGTGAAGGTTGTTTCTGTTATTTGTATCTCCCTGTTGGTAACAGTGAAGGTTGCTTCTGTTATTTGTATCTCCCTGTTGGTAACAGTGAAGGTTGTTTCTGTTATTTGTATCTCCCTGTTGGTAACAGTGAAGGTTGCTTCTGTTATTTGTATCTCCCTGTTGGTAACAGTGAAGGTTGCTTCTGTTCTTAGTACCTCCTGTTGGTAACAGTGAAGGTTGCTTCTGTTATTTGTATCTCCCTGTTGGTAACAGTGAAGGCTCCTCCTGTGCCTAACACTGTTGCAATCTTACATTAAGTCAATACATAATCTAACAGTTTGTAATACCGATGGTTTAGGAAGACCCTAACTATCCCCCCCCTCTCCTTATTAGCCAATTACACCCCCCTTCCCTTCCCTCTCCCTTGGGTGGTTAAGTCATTAGAGCCTCCTGACCCACGGAAAGGTCAGGGCGTCGTGTTATAGATTCGTAGATTTTGAAATTTTTTTGGGCGATTTTAAATTATCTCCTGTGTTAGTATTAATGGATTTTCTTACCGTGTTCTGGGTCAAGAGTCATTAAGCAATTCCATTTACGAAACCTGTACATCTTTTTCCCCTCGATCATGGTGGCTTTGTTTACACTTAATAAATTTTTTTACGAGCCTGGAAACCTCACAACCCAAAGGTTGTTGTTGTTATAAACAACCTCGTATAGGGCTTCGGTGCTCATATGGTGTTTTATATAGGTAAACACAGCCGCCATGAGGGGGAGGAAAGATGTATAGGTTTCGTCAGTGGTTGTGTAAATGGTCTCCCTCTTCCCCTGGTCCATCGAGGCATTGAACAAGACCAGTATGGTAAAATGAGCGTTACTGAAGCAGCATATAGAGTTCATTCTTCTCACTCGTTTGTCTTAGATGCGGCCATTGTCTCGTTTTAAACAAGGTGGTTTGTTTACTGTGATCATTGCACTGTCGCCTGTCAACTGTGATCATTGCACTGTCGCCTGTCTACTGTGATCATTGCACTGTCGTCTGTCTACTGTGTACCCGTCTGCTTGGATTGATCATTGCAACATATGCATTGTAAGCTGGTCATTGTTAGTCGACCAGGAGTGATCTCTTCACGGTAACTTAGGCACAGTGGGAGAACTACTGTGCTAAACCATGTTCTGTCCACTGTGAAAGGGGCTGGTAAGTCCTTGGACAACAATAACACATCTATTATGACCTGTCCAAGGAAGAGTTGTCCAGGACGTCTTCACTACTGTAACCCTGTCACCACTGGCCAATCCACAGTGATTTAATCACTGTGGTACATTCACTGTAATCTGTTCATTGTTCACAGTTCAATGTAGCTTACTTACACTAGCCTATTCAGAGTGATTTGGCCATTATGGTACGTCCCTCCCCCACCCCCCTGTTCATTGTTCACTGCTACTTCCACGCTGACCCATCATCAGTGATCCGACCATTGTGGTGCGTTCACTGTTCACCGTTCACTGTTCACTGTTCACAAAACCTTGTTGTCGTAGCTTGACTGCTATAATTCCTTGTCACTTCGACATGGGACTCTTACAGCATTCCGCCTTTCTTGGCCGCCACCGGCAGTCTCTCTCCCTGAAGGTAGGGGTTCATGCTCTGTAAGGAGGGAGAAATATGAACAGTTACTACTGATGGGTATACGACGAACATGGACACAATATTGACTGCTATTTACCGTTAGAGTTAGGGGGGGGGGAGCCTGTCAACCACTGGAGGGTTATTAAGACCAACCACAACAGCTTACTGACTAGTCAGAAAGTATATTTTAGTCCAGAACTAAATTAACCCAGTGTATATACACCAAGAAGCTGGGTATATCTCTCACCGTACATATCAACTAATTATATATATATATATATATATATATATATATATATATATATATATATATATATATATATATATATATATATATATATATATATATACATATTATATATATATATACATATTATATATATATATACATATTATATATATATATATATATATATATATATATATATATATATATATATATATATATATATATATATATATATATATATATATATATAATCACAAAGCCTAGCAATTGATAATTAACTCTGCAACAAGATTTAGCTCATGCTAAATTTTCAGTGATTTATAGATAAATTAGGCATTACAAGTCTGATATCAAAATTTCCCACACTGTTAACAAAATTCTAATCTTACCTTATGCTTTCTAAACGTTCTATGTGTATTTTCTGCATTATTAATAATACGTGCTTTATTGATCTATTTTTTTTTTTGTTTTAAACGTAGTTTTACTTGGATATAAGCAAATTTGACAAGGAAATAAGATCAAAATATATGAAGAAAATTAAAGTCGAAGATCTAGAATAGCCGCGATTGTTCATTAACACGTGAACAATTGTGTTCAAGTGTTAATGAACAATTAACACGTTCCAATTAACGTTTGGAACAATTAACCCCCAACAACTGTGTTCACGTGTTAATGAACAAATAACACGTTCCAATTAACGTTTGGAACTAATAACCTCCCCCCCCCCTCCCTCCCTGAACGATTGTGAGCGTGCCAACACCTTCGACTATTCAACAGTGCCTCCAAGGGTCCAGGAACCAACTCAAATCATCTTAAATATTAAATTTTTTCCTGCTTAAGGCGTGAGAACGTCGGTAAGTCGACGAGATGGTAGCTAACTCCAGTACTCAGTTTCCTGCGGCCACAGCGAGGGAGGAGTCTGGGATAAGAACGGTATGTTGCGTGTAAAACAGTGTATAATATGTAACTGGTTTGTGTATAAACCATTGTCTTGCATCTCGGGTTCGGTCGGAGAGCTGGTCAGAGACCGGGCCGCGGGGGAAGAGCATTGAAACATTCCTATAACAAACCCTCAATTCCCCCACCCCCCACCCCCACCCTCATACCGGAATCAATGCAAGGTAAGGTAGCTGGTTGTCTGACCGAGTTCCTTGCAAGCATGAGGACAGCTGGTGGTAGTGGTGGTGGTGGTGGTGGTAGTGGTGGTGGTGGTGGTGGTAGTTGTGGTAGTGGTGGTGGTGGTGGTAGTTGTGGTAGTAGTAGTTGTGGGAGTAGTAGTGACACTGAAAATGTTACCGGACTCCAGTCTGTTGAGTCCACGCCATTCCCTCTCCCCCCACCCCAAAAAATCTACCACTTACGGGCTATTCATGCCCGCGCCACCCCTTGTGTTTGCTTAATCTCCATCAATCAATCAATCAATCGTGTCCAGCAGTGAGTGTCGAATCTCACGAGTTACGGGTGACCGTAGCGAACACGGCGGTGATAACTACACCACACAGCACACACACATTATAGGCGGGACCAAAGAACCAGAGCTCAACCCCACCCCGCAAGCAAAACTAGGTGAGCACATAGCCATACCATGAGCCAAGAGATATATTTTCGTAGTATCCAAATTGGAAATCCTGAAATCCCTTTTGTAACGCAGCAGTGCTAAGGAAGACGTCTTAACCAGCTTGTTAAGACAGGGTTGTATAAACCTTGAGAGGGGCTAAGCACCATTCACACGTCCCTCTGATTAGTTTGGTGTAAGATGCTATTGTTAAGTACAACAGAGAAGACGCCTCAAACCACGTACAAAGAATCATGCAGTAATATTCACCCCTTTAGTACGACATACATATATACATTGGGATGTGAACCTTGACTCTGTCTCTCCTTGACCAAATCCGGCTTCCTCAGACCCAACCAGTACCTGGAAGAGGTCACTGGGCCTCGTGTGTGTGTGTGTGAGTGTTTTTGTTGTTGCTGTTGTTTAAGATTCGCTACCTGGAACAAAAAGTTCCAAGTAGCACTGGCTATGGTGAGCCCGTAGTGCCTCAGATGGTTCGCCCTACATATGGAATGATCAGCTGGGAATAGAGTGATGCCCTTCAAATAGCTGGTGTGTGTGTGTTGTTGCCCTGAGCACTCCTGCTGCCTCTATAACCTTTGTAAACTCTTGGCCATACCTTGAGGTTACCTTGAGGTGCTTCCGGGGCTTAGCGTTCCCGCGGCCCGGTCGTCGACCAGGCCTCCATGTTGCAACTGCTGACACTGCAAGCTGAGGTGGTGTGGGAAAAGTGAGGGGTTCGAATAGAAGATGAGATGAAGGGAAGTGAGAGAAAGGTAGGTAAGAGGAAGGAGGTAAAAGAGGAAAGGAAGGAAGTAAGAGGAAATGGAAAAATAATTATAAAAGGTTCGCTGGCTTTTGAACATATAAACAAAGGAAACTGCAAAAAGGCCTATATATTCACAGCAAAAACAGACAAAGCGAGAAAGGCAAGAGAAACATGAAAAGGAATAAAGGTGAAATAAAACAGAAACCGACAAAAAAGCGAAAGACGGAAATAGGAATGGACGAGAGAGAGAGAGAGAGAGAGAGAGAGAGAGAGAGAGAGAGAGAGAGAGAGAGAGAGAGAGAGAGAGAGAGAGAGAGAGAGAGAGAGAGAGAGAGAGAGAGAGAGAGAGAGAGAGAGAGAGAGAGAGAGAAAGAGAGAGAGAAAGAGAGAGAGAGAGAGAGAGAGAATAGAGACGCAGGAAGCTAAATCAGATCACGACTGCCATGACGACAACACCTAAGTTATCTCACATGAACACTTACTTATCTCTAACTTATCTTATACGCCAGCCAGGCTACCTGACATATTCCACGCATCTGCTAAGCGTTCAAAAACAACAAATTGAGCTTAAGTCGATCTTATTATGAATTTTTCCCCTGAGTAGGCCGTCACCCTAAGAAATTTTTAAGTTACCCTTAACAGTGAAGAAAAACGTAAGAAATATTGAGAAGATTCGTGTTAGAATTATTAATCTTACTATATATATATAGATTGAATGATTAGATTATCAATTAGGGTGTAGTTACCTCACCTTCTTTGTGTGAAACTTCTTAGCAACCAGCTGGTGGCTTCCGTCACTCTGAAAATATAAAAAATGCTTAACTTAACATCTATAAATGAAAATATACTCAGTCATATATAAATTATACTTAGTCATATATAAAATATACTCAGTCATATATAAAATATACTTAGTCATGTGCATTTACGTAGATTGTCAGCATTGATAATTCAGTTAATAGGTTTATAGTTATGAAAAAAAATCACTAATCCACAGGACGCGCGGGTTCGAGCCCATTGTATGACTAATACTTTATTAGATTCCTAAAATTCCTGTGATTTCATTGTGTAGGATTAATGTCACTTTGCAGTACAAGACGAAGATCAAAAGTTATGAGGAAGCTGATTGCTTCTGGAATATCAGCAGCCAGTGGAATAATGAGGCAGGTGAGGAGGCGTCAGGACAGATGTTCAACCCGTCCTCGCAAATTCGTATAGTCAATATTGACTTATTAAATAAGTGCATAGGTGACATACTAAACATAATAGATACCCTTAAAAAGATTCATAGAAAACACCGACCTTACCTAACCTTGTTAGTATGTTAAGATAAGCATCTTATTGCTTCGTAATTGCAATTGTTAGTTAACCTATTATAGGTATAGGTTAAGTAATAATTGTAATTACGAAGCTATAAGATGTTTATCTTAACATACTAACAAGGTTAGGTAAGGTCGGTGTTTTCTATGAAGCTTTTTAAGGGTATCTATTATGTTTAGTATATCACCTATGCACGTATTTAATAAGTCAATATTGACTATACGAATTTGCGAGAACGGGTTGGATTGTGAGAATGTGAGATGATAGAAAAGTGAATGTGAACTGATGTCCCAGGAAAGGGATGAGGAACATGATGAGGAAGATGAGAAAACCAGGTGTATGAGGCGCTGGAGCCCATCTAACCATGTGGAAAATAATGAGTCAAAATGAGATAAAAAAAATCATACGATGCTCTAGATTATGAGTAAATGAGGAAGCGGACAATAGCATGCTCTATATAGAGACCTCACACTCACCAATCCACTCATGATCTTGTCCAGAGTAGAGTCCAGCACCCCTTCGTTCTGGATTGAGCGCGCTAGGGCGGTGATCTCAGAGTCCCGGGTGGAGTCCACGCACTCAAACATGTGTTCTGTGTCACACATGCAGTCCTGCAGGGACTGGTAGTCCCGGGAGAAGCCGGCCGTGTTGTCGAACTCCTCCAGACACCCGTCGGCAGCTGTAACAACAATTAAGAATCGGAATATTGTGGTGGTGGTTCACGGTCCCTGGGCCCCCTTAGCGAGTCCTGGGCCCCCTTAGCGAGTCCTGGGGACCTTAGCGAGTCCTGGGGACCTTAGCGAGTCCTGGGGACCTTAGCGAGTCCTGGGGCTCCATTAGCGAGTCCTGGGCCCCCTTAGCGAGTCCTGGGGACCTTAGCGAGTCCTGGGGACCTTAGCGAGTCCTGGGGCCCTTAGCGAGTCCTGGGGACCTTAGCTAGTCCTGGGGACCTTAGCGAGTCCTGGGGACCTTAGCGAGTCCTGGGGACCTTAGCGAGTCCTGGGGACCTTAGCGAGTCCTGGGGACCTTAGCGAGTCCTGGGCCCCTTATCAAGTCCTAGCCTCTTATCAAGTCCTGGGCCCTTATCAAGTCCTGGGCCCTTATCAAGTCGTGACATAGTAGATTGATTGATAAAGATTAAGCCACCCAAGAGATGGCACGGGCATGAATAGCCCGTAAAGGTGAGAGAGCCAAAGTGAGAGAGTTAATATTGGACAAGAAGGAAGGAGAGGAGAGAGAAGGTGAGGGGAGAGAAGGTGAGGGGGGGGGGGTAGCAAGTGAGGGACTAATGAAGAGAAGGGTGAGGGGGGGGGAGGGGAAGGGGGAGCAGTAAACATGATTATCGAGGGAGGAGGAGGCAGCTGACACAGCCCCGCTCCTGTGCCAGGTAAGTCCACTACGGGATCACCATAGCCCGTGCTACTTGCACGGGTGTAACCAATGGGACAGGATCAACTCACCGGTGTAACCAATGGGACAGGATCAACTCACCGGTGTAACCAATGGAACAGGATCAACTCACCGGTGTAACCAATGGAACAGGATCAACTCACCTGTGTAACCAATGGAACAGGATCAACTCACTTGTGTAACCAATGGGACAGGATCAACTCACCGGTGTAACCAATGGAACAGGATCAACTCACCGGTGTAACCAATGGAACAGGATCAACTCACCTGTGTAACCAATGGGACAGGATCAACTCACCTGTGTAACCAATGGGACAGGATCAACTCACCGGTGTAACCAATGGGACAGGATCAACTCACCGGTGTAACCAATGGAACAGGATCAACTCACCGGTGTAACCAATGGAACAGGATCAACTCACCTGTGTAACCAATGGGACAGGATCAACTCACCGGTTTAACCAATGGAACAGGATCAACTCACCGGTGTAATCAATGGGACAGGATCAACTCACCGGTGTAACCAATGGAACAGGATCAACTCACCGGTGTAACCAATGGAACAGGATCAACTCACCGGTGTAACCAATGGGACAGGATCAACTCACCGGTTTAACCAATGGAACAGGATCAACTCACCGGTGTAACCAATGGAACAGGATCAACTCACCGGTGTAACCAATGGGACAGGTTCAACTCACCGGTGTAACCAATGGAACAGGGGATCAACTCACCGGTTTAACCAATGGGAGAGGATCAACTCACCGGTTTAACCAATGGAACAGGATCAACTCACCGGTGTAACCAATGGAACAGGATCAACTCACCGGTGTAACCAATGGGACAGGTTCAACTCACCGGTGTAACCAATGGGAGAGGATCAACTCACCGGTGTAACTAATGGGAGAGGATCAGCTCACCGGTGTAACCAATGGGAGAGGATCAACTCACCGGTGTAACCAATGGGACAAGTTCAACTCACCGGTGTAACCAATGAGAGAGGATAAACTCACCGGTGTAACCAATGGGACAGGTTCAACTCACCGGTGTAACCAATGGAACAGGATCAACTCACCGGTGTAACCAATGGGAGGGTATCAACTCACCGGTGTAACCAATGGAACAGGATCAACTCACCGGTGTAACCAATGGGACAGGGGTTGGGAGGGTTGCAGTAGGCTGGTAGAACACCCTCTCCTCCGCTGCTGGGGCTCTTCAAGCCGCTCGTGTTAGGCTTGGGTCGCTGCTTCAGCTTTCCCTCTGTTGAGTATCGTCAAGCTTAGTGTGAGACAGACAGACAGACAGACAGACAGACAGCCAGACAGACAGACAGACAGACAGACAGACAGACAGACAGACAGACAGACAGACAGACAGACAGACAGACAGACAGACAGACAGACAGACAGACAGACAGACAGACAGACAGATAGACAGACAGACAGACAGACAGACAGACAGACAGACAGACAGACAGACAGACAGAGACAGATAGACATATAAAAACGTATATTTTTAATAATTATATTTTACAACCACGGGCCAGATTCACGAAGCAGTTACGCAAGCACTTACGAACGTGTACATCTTTCCTCGATCTCTGACGGCTTTGTTTACATTTATGAAACAGTTTACAAGCATGACAACTTGCCAAATCAACTGTTGTTATTGTTATAAATTACCTCCTGGTGCTTCGGAACTTAGTAACTGTTTAATAATTCGATAAATCACCGTCAAATATTGAGGAAAGATGTACACGTTCGTAAGTACTTGCGTAACTGCTTCGTGAATTTGGCCCCTGCAGGAGGGCATGGCTGTCATCAACCACGACCCCTGGAGGGCATGGCTGTCATCAACCACGACCCCTGGAGGGCATGGCTGTCATCAACCACGACCCCTGGAGGGCATGGCTGTCATCAACCACGACCCCTGGAGGGCATGGCTGTCATCAACCACGACCCCAGGAGGGCATGGCTGTCATCAACCACGACCCCTGGTGGGCATGGCTGTCATCAACCACGACCCCAGGAGGGCATGGCCGTCATCAACCACGACCCCTGGAGGGCATGGCTGTCATCAACCATGACCCCTGGTGGGCATGGCTGTCATCAACCACGACCCCTGGAGGGCATGGCTGTCATCAACCATGACCCCTGGTGGGCATGGCTGTCATCAACCACGACCCCTGGAGGGCATGGCTGTCATCAACCACGACCCTGGTGGGCATGGCTGTCATCAACCATGACCCCAGGAGGGCATGGCCGTCATCAACCACGACCCCAGGAGGGCATGGCCGTCATCAACCACGACCCCAGGAGGGCATGGCCGTCATCAACCACGACCCCAGGAGGGCATGGCCGTCATCAACCACGACCCCTGGTGGGCATGGCTGTCATCAGCCACGACCCCAGGAGGGCATGGCTGTCATCAACCACGACCCCAGGAGGGCATGGCTGTCATCAACCACGACCCCAAGAGGGCATGGCTGTCATCAACCACGACCCCAGGAGGGCATGGCTGTCATCAACCACGACCCCAGGAGGGCATGGCTGTCATCAGCCACGACCCCAGGAGGGCATGGCTGTCATCAACCACGACCCCAAGAGGGCATGGCTGTCATCAACCACGACCCCAGGAGGGCATGGCCGTCATCAACCACGACCCCAGGAGAGCACGGCTGTCATCAACCACGACCCCTGGAGGGCATGGCTGTCATCAACCACGACCCCAGGAGGGCATGGCTGTCATCAACCACGACCCCAGGAGGGCATGGCTGTCATCAACCACGACTTACCATAGTTGCCGAGGACGGTGCTGAGGAGGGAGGAGTGAGAGAGGTACTCCTGGTCCCTAAGGGACGGGCTGAGGGACAGGTCCTCGTAGTCCAGGGGCATGGCGCCCCCTGGCAGCTCCTTCATGGCCCTGGGGGACATGCCCTCTGCCATGGGCACCCCGAGCCTGGCGGAGGAATACAACAGTCACAGACAGGTGGTGGAATACAACAGTCACAGACAGGTGGTGGAATACAACAGTCACAGACAGGTGGTGGAATACAACAGTCACAGACAGGTGGAGGAATACAACAGTCACAGACAGGTGGAGGAATACAACAGTCACAGACAGGTGGGGGAATACAACAGTCACAGACAGGTGGTGGAATACAACAGTCACTGACAGGTGGTGGAATACAACAGTCACTGACAGGTGGTGGAATACAACAGTCACAGACAGGCGGAGGAATACAACAGTCACAGACAGGTGGTGGAATACAACAGTCACTGACAGGTGGTGGAATACAACAGCCACAGACAGGTGGTGGAATACAACAGTCACAGACAGGTGGTGGAATACAACAGTCACAGACAGGTGGTGGAATACAACAGTCACAGACAGGTGGTGGAATACAACAGCCACAGACAGGTGGTGGAATACAACAGTCACTGACAGGTGGTGGAATACAACAGTCACAGACAGGCGGAGGAATACAACAGTCACACAGACAATCATAGCTCACTGACGGGGCATCAATCACTCAGCTAATGTGATTGATGACACACGTCTACTAACAACAAACTGGTTCTGATATAAACAACCCAAAAAATCATTAAGGTTATACAATGGGCTCAAACTCTCGTCCCTGGCGCCACCATGCCGAGATTCACACTACCAGCTACCCCACGACATGAGCTAAAGTTATGTGAACTTAATTATTTCCTCTCCCTTGGCCTGGGTCGGCCAGGGTCGGCCAGGGTCGGCTAGAGTCGACCACGGTCGGCCAGGGTCGACAAGGATCGTCCAGGGTCGGCCAGGGTCGGCCAGGGTCGACCAGGGTCGGCCAGGGTCGACCAGGGTCGTCCAGGGTCGACCAGGGTCGGCCAGGGTCGACCACGGTCGGCCAGGGTCGGCCAGAGTCGGCCAGGGTCGTCCAGCATCGTCCAGGGTCGACCAGGGTCGACCAGGGTCGTCCAGAGTCGACCAGGGTCGACCAGGGTCGGCCAGGGTCGGCCAGGGTCGGCTAGAGTCGACCACGGTCGGCCAGGGTCGGCCAGGGTCGGCCAGGGTCGGCTAGAGTCGACCACGGTCGGCCAGGGTCGACAAGGATCGGCCAGGGTCGACCAGCATCGGCCAGGGTCGACCAGAGTCGAACAGAGTCGACCACGGTCGGCCAGGGTCGTCCAGGGTCGGCCAGGGTCGGCCAGGGTCGTCCAGGGTCGGCTAGGGTCGGCCAGGGTCGACCAGGGTCGGCCAGGGTCGACCAGGATCGGCCAGGGTCGGCCAGGGTCGACCAGGATCGGCCAGGGTCGACCAGCATCGTCCAGGGTCGACCACGGTCGACCAGGATCGGCCAGGGTCGACCAGGGTCGACCAGGGTCGACCAGGGTCGACCAGGGTCGGTTAGACTCACCCTTGTGGGGGGAGGTCGAGGTAATCTCGACCAGTATCGGCCAAACCGCTTCCCATCCTAGCAACCATCTCCCTGAGGAAGGCATCAGAGAGTCCCATGGAAGCTGCGCCCTGAAAAACACAACACAATTTGAACAGGTAATTTTGTATGGATATAGCAAGGCCTAAATGATACAAGTTGCAAACGAGGCCTAATTTATGTTGCAAGTTGCATTATATTGTATAATCGGTGCAAGGCAGCAGAGTAGGCCTATCTTGTTCGTCAGAGGCTTGTTATTTTTTTTATGCCACAAATGTAATTTGTTGAAATTATTGCTGAATATTATCTCTAAATCTAAATCTATATTATGGGGTAATTAATTGTAATGATCCTATGTTATTCTGGCAATACGGCCGACAGGTGTGTAATATTACACACCTGTGTGAACGTTATTATTTATGTCAACATATTTTGCACCACAAGTTTGGAATTTGAAAAAAATGGATTTGTACTGAAATCTAACTTAATGTAATCTAACCTTACTTACACTAGCCCATCCTAACTCAATCATTCCTAACCTAACCTATCCTAACTCAATTATACCTAACCTAACCTATCATAATTTAATCATTCCTAACTTAACCTATCCTAACTCAATTATACCTAATCTAACCTATCATAACTTAATCATTCCTAACCTAACCTATCCTAACTCAATCATACCTAACCTATCATAACTCAATCATACCTTATCCAACGTACCCTATTCTGACTCAAACCCCAACCTAACCAGACCCAATTAGGATATATATATTGGGTCTATCTGAACCCAATTCAACCTAATCTACTATTATATTCAGATTTGATAACGGCATTACACAAGAAAGGTCATCCGCTATTAACTACTTTCTTTTTCAATCGTTCTATCTTCGGGCTGTGCTCGCCCAAGACTATGCCTCCCCCCCCCCCAACTCTACCCCAATTCCGTGCCCTGTCAATCATCGTCCTCAAGTTATGATCGATCCATGAGAATCATTCATCGATTTTTGACACATTGTGTAGCCAAAAAAAATGGTTCTAGCATATTAATGTATATTAAATAATGGGGGTCACAATTTTGTTGTGTTCCTGGGAAGAAAATGTTATATGTCTCCAGAGTATAGACAATGGCTGGTGTTCTTCCGCTCAAGCTTTTGTTTTGACCTTTGCTTTGTTTTGATCTTTTGACCTTTGAGCTTCGGTTAAGACAACGTTTGGAGGGTAGCTGCAGGCAGACTCAACCCGCCAAACACACACCGAAACTATGACGTTGGTACAACGTTCGAACAAGTTTTAACACCTAACCATTTATAACAACTAATATAGCAAGTTGTAACAACGTTCTAATACGTCATAAACACGTTAAGCCAAGATGTAACAACTCTATTACAAGTTGTAACAAGCGGAAAATAGAGACAGTTTCGGTTTGTGTTTCCAGGGAACTTATCAACAGCTCTGACACTGTTTCATAAGTCAGCAGCCTTTCTGCTGTCTCGTCAAGGTGTTTTCATTAAGCTGACTGAGACAAAGGTCAAAGCTAAGCTTGAGCGGAGGTCTTACTTTGGATGTCTTAAGCAAATCAGAAAATATCACCTCCCACTTAAAAAAATTTTTTACCCAATGCTATAATTTGATCTGTAGCAAGGCTTACCTTAGGTAAGGTTAAGTCTTTTTGGGATCAATTGGTAATTATGTGTATTTAACACAACCCGTCCTCGACTCAAGTCCATTCCATCCAGCGGTCGACCCCACAGACGCATTTTCATAAATTTTTACATGCTGTTCATTCAAAACATGTATTTTCTCAAATATAAATTAATATTATAATATATTAGCATATTGTGCATATATAGGCATTGGTTAGGTTAGGTGTCTAGGTTCTGTTGGCGATTATTTGTATTTGTAGTACGTGGGTGAAGCATTTACAGCGTTGTGGTTCGAACAAAATTCGTCAGTGAAGCACTTATTTCGGACGTTTTCGAACGTCATCAGTTATGAGTCGTATGTAAACCGTTTTTCATTCATAAACAGCGGGGGTTTGGCGGGTGCATGGAATGAACTTTGGGCCTTTGTTTGGAGGACGGGCTGAAAAAAAGCGAAGTTCTGACCCAAAACAAATTCGAACGCATTCGGATTTGAGTCATAACACGCTCGAATGTTCACACACCTAAAAATTCGAACGTACTCGGCTGCACGTTCGAACTTTTTTCAGTTTAGATTCAACAATAAAGTGATCTCCATTAATACATAAAAAGAGGGAGATTGGGAGGGTGGGTTGAGGGCGGCCATCGGAATTAACGAGCTGACTCAACTACTCATTAACGAGGCAATTAGCCCCGTGGTAACGCACCGAGGACCCAGGCAGGTAGGACGCTGACGTCAAGTAGAGCATAGAGCCCACTCCGAGGTACACAGCCGCTGTCAGCATCTGTGGGAAGATGAGAGTTATAGAGTTTAAGCTGTGTAGGGAGACACAGCTATAGAGTTAACTTAATGCAAGAGTCTTCACTTAATATTGCTAGAGTTTTCACTTAATAATGCAAGAGTCTTCACTTAATAATATAGAGTCTTCACTTTATAATATAGACAATATAGAGCTTTCATTTAATGTTCCATATTCCATACATGGTACTCATTATATGTTCACAATATATAATTTTCAGTATACAACAGTATATTATACGATATGTGCCGCACAGCAGGCCTATATAATGTAAGTTTAACACAAGGCCATGTTGCAAAGTAGGCCTATATCATGCAAGTTGCAGAGTAGGCCTATATAGGGCAAGTTGCATATACAATAGATGAAGAGGAACGAGAAGGTGAACTCAGAAACAACTTCAAGACTGATTTCGGGCAGGTCTAGATAGATTCAGGATAATCTACAGCCCAGGTTCGAATCCTTGAGGAATCATTAGAATATTGTTGACAAAATTGATGCATGGGGTATCATTCAGGCAAACCACGTATATATATATATATAAATATATATATATATATATATATATATATATATATATATATATATATATATATATATATATATATATATATATATATGTATAGTGACTTATGAGGCTGACAGCTGTGATAAGCGCCGGCATGGTGAAGAAAGCTATTCAGCTGTCACTCAGAAAATATCCAATCTATCCGTATCTTTTCTTCATAAACCCACATAAAATGCTCAGAAACTTCAAATATTATCATCACCTGTACTAAACATTATGACACGATGTGAACGAGGTCTCAAACCCCGCCCTAACGAGGTATATATATATATATATATATATATATATATATATATATATATATATATATATATATATATATATATATATATATATATATATATATATATATATATATATATATATATACACACATACACACACATTTGTACCATATGGAATGCATTAGGCAGTGATGTGGTGGAGGCTGACTCCATACTCGGTTTCAAGTGTAGATATGATAGAGCCCAGTAGGCTCAGGAACCTGTACACCAGTTGATTGACGGTTGAGAGGCGGGACCCAACAACCTGAGCTCAACCCCCGCAAGCACAACTAGGTGAGTACACACCCGCACGCACGCACACACACACACACACACTGGCGCTGGTGGCTGAGTGGACAGCACGTTGGATACGTATTCCTGTGAACCGGGGCTCGATTCCCGGCGCAGGCGGAAACATATGGGGCAAAGTTTCTTTCACCCTGATGCTCTGTTACCTAACAGTAAATAGCTACCTGGAAGTTAGACAGCTGCTACGGGCTGCTTCCTGTGTGTGTGTGTGTGTGTGTGTGTGTGTGTGTGTGTGTGTGTGTGTGTGTGTGTGTGTGTGTGTGTGTGTGTGTGTGTGTGTGTGTGTGTAGGGGGGGGGGAAGTTAGTAAACAGTTAGTAACAGTTGATTGCTTGACAGTTGAGAGGCGGGATCAAAGAGCTAAAGCTCAACGCCCCGCAAGCACAACTAGGTGAATACACACACACGCACACACACTCACGTACACACACACACACACACACACACACACACACACACACAGTTCACAAACATTAAAATTATGCTCAACCATAAGAATTATTTCCCCTAAAGTCTGAACCATCACCATAAGCCCTCCAGTATCACACACACTCCCACTCAGCTCCATAATCATAACTGCATGAGAAAATGTTGAATGTCCAGTAACCTGTCCTCTTAAAAAGAGCGTTGCTTTAAGCCGTTTACCCGTATGGCCGAATATGGACGTAATTTGAAAATGAAAATAAATTTGGGATTTTTTTTTTCAACAACAGTAAGTTAAGGGTCCTCTGATAGGTTAGGTGGGCAGGAAATTCTTATAAAGTTTCAAAATGGTATGAAAAACGTTAATGGAAAGTTGCCTCTTTTAAGCTTGTCGAGTAAGCCGGACGACTCGAACAGAAAACGGAACAGTACGTCACTTTTGTGAGTCGATTTCATTTCAAATTACGTCCAAATTTGGCCATAGTGAGCATACCAGCCAAAAGTGACGTTATTTTTAAGAGGACGGGTTGATGAGATTGAACTGCCGTTTTCGGACACCCTAGCATTACATGCAGTATTCCAAGGACGCTGGTTCGATACAATTCAATAGCCTCAATAAATATATATATATATATATATATATATATATATATATATATATATATATATATATATATATATATATATATATATATATATATTCTCATAGAGACATCATGTTCCCGGGAATTCAATCTATAGATCTATAGGATAAGTTATTCCTCCTCATCTGATCAGGGCTTCTTGGCCTCCATAATAAGAGGAAGCCTTACACAAGAGGAAGTCAGAGGGTCACAGATACACAACAGAGGAAGTCACTGTCTTAAGCACACACACCCACACAAGAGGAAGTCAGCTGGGCCCCCTCCAGATAAAGTCAAGGGGGGCTTCAGCAGCAGGATACACTCACCTTGCTAGCCAGTTGCTTCAAGACCTCCAACTGGGAACCAATATGGCGCCCACTCTAAGGTCCTAACGACCCAACTATCAACATCACAACTCCCTCCTGATGGCCAATATGGCCAGCTAATATGTCTAACATTACGGGGCATATTATGATTTACATTTTTATTCATGTCAGTGTGAAAGAAAATGTTGTTTTCATGCGATAAAATGAGGAGATATATGAAGGCTGCGCGGGACAGATGTGCGCAGGACGGGTGTGCGCATGACCCATGTGCGCAGGGGAGTTCCCGTGCGGATTGTCATGGTAACAGTTGTATTGATCACGATGGGTGGGGATGGGAGGGATGGGGAAAGGGAGGGAGGGGGTTCTGCCACCCCCCCCCCTCCATCTCCCCGGAGCGTATGATATGTACGCAATACACTATTCGAGTGCCTTTTGTCTCCTTAAATGCGTACCAGAGAGAGAGAGAGAGAGAGAGAGAGAGGGAGAGAGGGGGAGAGAGAGAGAGGGAGGGAGGGAGATAGGGAGAGAGAGAAACGAGTGAATTTGACAATACTGAAGTCATCTCTATCTATTCAGGAGAATATATGTCTATCTGAGGATGGAGGCCGGACTCTTTGGCCTAACCCTCACCTTACTTTCACACATGATACATGTGTGGTACGGGACGGACATAGGCCTGTTCCGGGTCGGCTCTACTGCCACACTGTAAAAAAAAAATCAGCCTCTAACTCTACCCCTCCCCACCTACCTCCCTCCTCCTGATGAGCTTTTCATTTACGTCTCAAATTATAAACTGGATGAATTTTCCATATTTTTGTTTAACTAATCCCGCCATTTACCCGCGCATGTTCAAGATTTACTCGAAAATAATTAACTGAATTCATGTAAATGAAAGGGGGAGAAGAGGAAGAGGAGAGGAGATAGGACGTGGAGAGGGCAGTGGTGTGAGATGTCGTGTGGAAAAGAGGGGAAGGGGGGCTGGAGGGAAGAGGGGAAGAGAGAAAGGGGGGAAAGGGTGGAGGGAAGATGTGATAAAAAGATGATGTGTGGGAGAGGGGAGAGGCCGGGATAAATGAGGTGGGAATCGGGAAGTGGGACAAAAGACAGGTCACTCCGGGTACCCGTGCCAGAGAGCATCAGGAGTCTTTATGGTTTACATAAAGAGTTTTAAGAGTTCACACTGAGCCCCTGGAGGCTCTCGGAGCTCACACTGAGCCCCCTGGAGGCTCTTGGAGCTCACACTGAGCCCCCTGGAGGCTCTCGGAGCTCACACTGAGGCCCCTGGAGGCTCTCGGAGCTTACACTGAGCCCCCTGGAGGCTCTTGGAGCTTACACTGATCCTCCGGAGGCTCTCGAAGCTCACACTGAGCCCCCTGGAGACTCTCGAAGCTCACACTGAGCCCCATGGAGGCTCTCGAAACTCACACTGAGCCCCAGAAGGCTCTCAGAGCTCACACTGAGCCCCTGTAGATTCTCGGAGTTCACACTGAGTCCCCTGGAGGCTCTCGAAGACATTTAGGATTCGTCACAATGTTCAGAGCCAATGAGAAGATACTGAAGCCATACGGTGTGATCGAACCTGTGTCTCTGGATTCCTCAGGCACACGCACTACCGGCTGAACCACGATGAGCTTAAAAAAAAAGCAGAAGTACTATACCTGAGTCCAGGAACGCGGGTTCGATCCCATTGTATGGCCTCATTAATTCCCCCTCATCTACGCCATATGGACTTTCATTGCAACACTGGACGCAATAACAGCATCGCATGTCAACAGATGCAATATTGCAGCTTTTGTTGTAGGCTGATAACGTGCATTTACCGACAATCAGATATCTTGAGAGGAGTTATAGTGGTAGAGAAGATAACAGTGTCTAAGCGGCCGGTGAGGGCGGGGTCTAACAGGGCGATTGGGTAGTTCGCAGAGTAGATATGGGTTAACTGGGACAAGATATGTTCAGAGAAATTGCCTGTGCATGCGCATGCCCACGGAGTTATGCGCGTACCCACGCATGCGCAATCCGTAAACAGGTGTGTTTACCTAGAAGAGAAGCCCGCGGTGGGCTCTGGGAGGCTGCCAGTATAGAGCACGCTGCTGTAGGGCTCTGTGCTGCCTGCCGGGCTTGGCTTCCAGAGTTGGCTTCGAAGGACTTTGGCTTCCGGAGACCTTGGCCCCTCGAGAGACCTTGGCTTCGAGGAACGTTGGCCTCGCGTGGACCTTGAGTTTCAAGTACCTTGGCTTCCAGAGATCTTGGCTTAGTGAGACGTTGGCTTCATAGAACTTTGACTTCCAGAGACCGTGACTTCGAAGGTCCTTGGCTTTCAGGGACTTCGACTTCGAGAGACTGGAAGAAAAAAACTTAAGATTTCTACGATCTCATTTTCGTGTGATTTCGAGGAGAAAGAAAGAAGTGTGGAGGAGCAATGAGGAGTGAGAAGGCTGCTCTGTGTGGCAGACTCTGCGTGTTGGTGGCGTGTCTGCTCCTGCTGGCAGAACCATGTTCTTCAGCTAAGTTGAGGACTTCGGCGAATGACCCCATCAGGAATGTGTTGAAGAAGTCGCTGGGTCCCCAGCGTCTGGCGTTCCAGCGACAGTATCAAGAGGATAGACCTCTTCCTTACACGGTTTTGTCCCAGCGTTTGACGTTCCAGTTTGAAAAGGATAAGCCTCTGTCTGCGTTAGCGTTACTGCAACGCCTGGCGTTCCAGCAACAGTATCAACGGCAAAGACCTCTGCCACCCACGAACACTGAGACACCGTTGACAACGGCAGGGAAACAGTCAGTAACGGAAGGCTCGCTACAACAGTCGCTGCAGGCCACCGCTCCCACTACCTCATCAACCTCGTCCACAAAAAACACTTCGTCTGAATTCATCGATGAATCTAACGCAAAAGACGCCACCCAAAATCTTTTCCGCAACAGCCAATTACCTCGTGCTAACAATCCCAAGCTCGACAATCATCGCAATGCGAAAAGCATCGCAGAACATCGAATTCTTAAGCAAACAATCACCCAGCTTTCCATTGATTTCCTAAGAGCTGTAGACTCGACAAAAGCCACAAATCATTGCACTCCATTGCAAACCTGCCTCAGCAACGCCACGTGTGTAACACGAGGGAGAAATTGCAAATATTTCCTTTTCAATGACACTACAAACTTCATCCTTTTTGAAGGCAATGGTAATTATGAAGATTTATCTGATAACAATATTGGTTATCCTGTCAAGCCGGCCGCCAGCGATAACAGGAGACTGAACAACAGGACGATGGGTCAACACGGAACTCCTGCTCCCACATACGACAGATCGTCTACTCCCACATACGACACATTATCTACTCCCACATACGACACATTATCTACTTCCACATACAACACATTATCTACTTCCACAGACATCCCTCTACCTATACTCAGCAGTAGAAGTCCTCTACCGTCCTGCTGTCCAGCGATGTTCCACGAATGCACAAAGAGAAGCAGCATCACTGGCGTTTCCTCTCTGGAAGGTGACGATGCTTCCGCTGGCTCAAGGAACCATTCTACTTGGCGGGGCTCTGAGGTGACAAGATCACGGTATCATTTAATAAATCCTACGTCGGTTGTGTGTCCCGTAGCAGAGTCCCGCGGTGAAGAGTCCTTCGCCGGTGGGTCCTACGGTGTAGAGTCCTACGGTGCAGAGTCCTACGGTGCAGAGTCCTACGGTGCAGAGTCCTATCAGGCCAAGCCGACTCCTTGCATCTGGCTTGATCTGTGCATCATAGACGTCTCCCACAGACACCACTTCTGCATCAGTGGTAAACTGTGTAAGTTTACCTAAGTGGATTTTACCTAATCCACTTGGGAAAGCCTGATTTAAAAAAGTCGTAAATGTCTACTTTTCAATTAATGTTCACATTTAATAGAACTGAAGTGTCACTTACGAAGTTTGGAGGTCTTACGTGTCGATTTGCGACACCTGAACCTCTTTCGTGTTCTCTTACGAGGTCTGGGCCTCTTATCTCCATCATGGCTGTCTAGTTTGAATTTATTAAACAGCTTACGAGCATCGAGGAGCTATGAGGTCGACTTCAACCCATGTACGCTCTCATAGCGCTCCGGAGATCGTAAATTATTAAGTAAATATTAACTGAGCTGCCTTACTCGAGGTAAGAGGTCCAGGCCTCGTAGGTGAACACGTAAGAGGTCCAGACCTCGTAAGAGAACACGTAAAAGGTCCAGACCTCGTAAGACAATACGTAAGAGGTCCAGACCTCATAAGAGAACACGTAAGGGGTCCAGGCCTCGTAGGTGAACACGTAAGAGGTCCAGACCTCGTAAGAGAACACGTAAAAGGTCCAGACCTCGTAAGACAATACGTAAGAGGTCCAAACGTTTGTGAGATAACACGTAAGAGGTCCACACCTCGTAGGTGAAGATGGTAAGTGTTGGGATTACAGTACAACGCGGATATTACAAGGCCTGGCATTACAGTGATGGCTCCATTTTCAGACCATTCTCCGTGGCAACGAAGGACCCCAGTGACGGTCTGCATGGCTTTTCCAGGACCAGTTTGGACCATCAGGGGACCATTGGAGGTGGCTATGAAGGGGGTCTTCATGGTCCCAATAACCCTAGTGAGTATACCATGCCCTCATTTCTATAAAATAGGCCTAGAAATATCTGATGCAGTAGGCCTAGTATGGACCAATAGGCCTGCTACGTTGCTCCATAATTCCCACGTCCTTGAAAACCCATGTAAGGTGAAGTAATTATGAGGAGAAAGCGCTTAGCCAGTATATGACCATATAGCGCTTGGAAGGGATATGAGACAGACTAAGATCTCTGATATCAGGAAAAAGCACCAATCCATTACAACTATATAACACTTGGAAGGGGTCAGGCTAAGGATTTGGGGATGGGACGAGAGGGGGGAAAGGAATGGTGCCCAACCACTTGGACGGTCGTGAGGATTGAACGCCGGCCTTGCAAGAAGCTAGACCGTCGTTCCGTCGATTAGTTTAAGAATTAAACATCAACTTGAAATCCTTTGGTATATATCTTTCAGGTTGGTGTGGCCGCCAACGGCGCCATCTTGTACGTGTTGGCGCGACACCGGCGGCTTCGCACGACAGCCAATATCTTCGTTGGAAACCTTGCAGTGGCGGACCTCCTGTTGGCAGCCCTGTGTCCTCTCCTCTTCATGCTCGAGGACTCCTTCCAGAATTACGTCCTTGGTTCTGTCGGCTGCAGACTTCAGGGCTTCACACAGAGTTAGGTTTAAGGCTTCATTGCTTTTCTATGTTGAACAATGATTAATTTGGTATTTCTGGAAGGTTTATACACAACACAATTTGTCCTCCTCATCCTCATAACCACAGCCGATCATCAACACAGCCCGTCCTCATCATCACAGCCCGTCCTCATCAACACAGCCCGTCCTCATCAACACAGTCCGTCCTCATGAACACAGTCCGTCCTCATGAACACAGTCCGTCCTCATGAACACAGTCCGTCCTCATGAACACAGTCCGTCCTCATGAACACAGTCCGTCCTCATGAACACAGTCCGTCCTCATCAACACAGCCCGTCCTCATCAACACAGCCCGTCCTCATCAACACAGCCCGTCCTCATCAACACAGACCGTCCTCATCAACACAGACCGTCCTCATCAACACAGCCCGTCCTCATCAACACAGCCCGTCCTCATCAACACAGCCCGTCCTCATCAACACAGCCCGTCCTCATCAACACAGCCCGTCCTCATCAACACAGACCGTCCTCATCAACACAGACCGTTAATATGAACGACTGCGTCTCTGAAGACCGAGTACCTCATTACCCACAGGTGTAACTAACCCACAGTCATTTAATCAGTTTACTGTCAAATAAGTCAAATACTGACTTATTAACTTATCCAATCTTGGTTCACGGTTTCTGAAATCATTTATGCGACTTCTCCAGCGCTCATCATGATGGTATCCGTGTTGAGCCTGACGCTGGTGTGTGGCGAGCGTCTGGCGTTGGTCGTGGGCGATCGCCTGGCGAACGGCTTCACCCCGCGAAGGAAGCGAAGGTCCGCCAGGCTCGCCTACGGTGTCTGCTGCTTGGTCTGGCTCCTGGCTGCTGGCGTTGGTCTTCCTGTGGTCCTGTGCCGTTACTTCGTCGTGAGTACACAGGGGTGGGTCCCAGGGGTGGTTCCCAGGGGTGGTTCACAGGGGTGGTTCCCAGGGGTGGTTCCCAGGGGTGGTTCCCAGGGGTGGTTGCCAGGGGTAGTTCCCAGGGGTGGTTCCCAGGGGTGGTTCCCAGGGGTAGTTCTCAGGGGTAGTTCCCAGAGGTGGTTCCCAGGGGTGGTTCCCAGGGGTGGTTCCCAGGGGTGGTTCCCAGGGGTGGTTCCCAGGGGTGGTTCCCAGGGGTGGTTCCCAGAGGTGGTTCCCAGGGGTGGTTCCCAGGGGTGGTTCCCAGGGGTAGTTCTCAGGGGTAGTTCCAAGATACTAAGAAGAAGATATAGATACAGAAACAATGTTTCAATCACTAAACAGAGCTATTGTTTTCGGAGCCAATTCGACATCCTAAGGTGGAACTTAAGAGCAGTAGCTTGGCCCTGCAAACACATCTTGGTGAGTAAACACACACACACATGCGCACCACCTAACGGTCTATAACTAACCTTGTACCATTAACATAATCTGCATCTTACCTCTAGATTATCTATCGATCACCTGTAACTTACCTCTGAAAGATTTCGAGCGTCTTACACTCCCCCTCACAATCTTGCCCTTCAGGATCGGCAGTGGTTGACCCACCAGGAGACCTTTTGTGTGGAGGAGCCGTGGGTGACCCAAGTCTACTGGCCTTGTGTGGTGGTGGTGTTCATTTGTCTGCCTATGATGTGCCTCGTCGGTGCCTATATGGTCATCTTCTGCAAGGTTAGCATAGCCGTGTCTTCTGCTAGGTCAGTATACTCGTGTCTTCCGTTAGGTTAGCATAGCCGTGCTTTCCGTTAGGTTAGCATACCCGTGTCTTCCGTTAGGTTAGCATACCCGTGTCTTCCGTTAGGCTAGCATACCCGTGTCTTCCGTTAGGTTAGCATACCCGTGTCTTCCGTTAGGCTAGCATACCCGTGTCTTCCGTTAGGTTAGCATAGTCGTGTTTCTGTAAGGTCAGCATACCTGTCCCATTGTCCTGTACCATCTACGAGGTCACCAGATGATACCAGCTGGCTAATATCTGGGGATCACTGGCTGTAACTGGGTGAAAAAATAAGTTTTTCCCTAATAATAGTACAGGATCAAAATTATATATATATATATATATATATATATATATATATATATATATATATATATATATATATATATATATATATATATATATATATATTATATATATATGGCTGTTAATTTCGCTGCCTGTTCCCTTCGAGGACCTGGTGCGGGGGGAGGGGGGAGGGGGGGGCCAGTCAACACGGTGTTGACTGGCCGGGCTGTCAACAGTCAACACCTGTACATCTGTCAGGTGTTGTACGAGGAGGTGTTATGTGTAATGTTGTTTTTTCTCTCCTGTGTGTGTGTTGTGGTTGACAGCTGGACCAGTACGAGGCCTCGGTGCGTGGTCAGGGCCACTTTGGGGTCAGGAGCCGCCATCATCGTCGGCGTCGTCGTCTCTTGTCCCTCATGTTCGTCATCCTGCTCGTCTTCCTGGTTTGCTACGCTCCCTTCACCATCTTCACCATCGTCAGGGCCATCGTCTTGTCGGAGTATAAGGAGGTAAGAAGGCACCTCTTGCCCACCAAGCAGCAAACAGGAACCAAGCAACTTGTCACCTATTTGTCAGGGAATCGAACCCCGACCGGCAAGAGCGCGAGGCCGTCAGTTATATGAGATTTAGGCTTCGATAAGCCTATAACAGCCTACCTGTCACCTCCCTAAACCGACCAAATACTTGAAATACCTAGAGCGTTAAGTTGTTGTTGTCATAGATTTAGCTACTCAGAACGAAGTGTCCATGTAGCACGGGCTATGGTGAGCCCGTAATAGAACGTTAAGAGCAAGCTACTCATACGTCTCCAAGGGTCTTGATTCTACCCAGAATTGTGTGGTGATGCAGGTGGATGATTACTCCGACCAGCTGTGGTGGGTGTGCCACTGGCTCGCCTACCTCAACTCCGCTCTCAATCCGCTCATCTACGGCCTCACCAACAAGGAATTCGTGGTAGCGTGGCGCGCCTCCTGCCCCGACTGCGGCCTGTCCCGAAGGATATCTGTAGATGGAAGCCTCGGAGATCGTCACTCGTGTTCCTGCAGCAGCCGCCCTCAACACAGCCACCGCCGCGCCCACACACCTGAAGATGGCCACCACCCCCACGCCCACACACCTGAAGATGACCTCTCTCACCTTGATCAATTAGACTCTTGCTACGAGCGCCGCCCCAGAACACCATTGGCAATAGAGGCGTTGAGGGGCAACGGTAAGTCGATCTTAAGAGACAATCAAGGATAAGGAAGATAAAATATATATATATAAACACAAATAATGAGGAGAAAGCGCTTAGCCAGTACGACTATATAGCACTTGGGAAGGGACAGAAGGACAGGATGTTGGGATAGGCTGGAGTGAAGGAACGGTGTCCCCCCCCCCCCAGACCCCCTTGAACCGTCGGGGATCGAACTCCGACCTGCAAGAAGCCGTCGCTTTCAATTTCAACATCTTCGCAAAATTGACTTTAGTCCAATGTGATACAGTAATAATTAAGGTACAATTTTACCTGACAACTCTGTTCACTTGGCAGTATGAACTTAACTTGGCAGTATGAACTTAACTTGGCCCCTGGGAGTTATAGGCCCCTGGGAGTTATAGGCCCCTGGGAGTTATAGGCAATTGTTGTAGGTTTGATGCTAGGTAAGGTCATTAGTTGGCCTTGAGGGACCGTACACCTGATGCACCTGTTCACTTAGCAGTACGGTAGCTACCCTGGATCTAGGCAACTGTTGTGGGCTGCATCCTTGGGTAAAGTTAGAGGTTCCACTAAGGGGGCAGGACTTCAAAATATGCTTAATTAAGTGCTCGCTGTTCCATCTCAACAGGAATTATATTCTTTTCAATTTGGATTAAAGCCTCTCAACAATGGGACGGATTCTTAAGGCCACCACAATATCCCACCAATAAATTCAGGTGATAATTATTTTTATTGCATGACATTTATACGAGCTAGTTTTATTCTGCAACAAATTATCCTCTACATTATTTATATAATTTAATGGCAGGATCACCCGCGAGAACTTCGAGATCCAGTGGACAGAGCGAGAGAACACCTCTAATATATTGGAGACGCAGCTCTCCGGTCATCCTTAGTGGAGGATCCTCTCTCCTTCAAGCCACACCGTCACAGGCCAGCGGAAGCCCTCGACACACACAGAACACCGACAGCCGAGACTTAGATATCTTCGCCACAGAAACATCTAAGTACCCGCTATCATTTGTAAATGTTTTCTGTGGACGAAGTTTTACAGAAAACGGCCAAATGTCTACTCTTTAAAATGAAACTAAAACATTGTAGCTAGCTGTTATGATATTTTTAGTTTTAGTGTTTTAGCCATAGTCAAAAATATTCCCTATATATTTTCAGATATTATGCTTTTCTAGTAGAAAGATTTTTTTTAGCATTTGAGACAACAACATTTTAACACGTTTTCTGAGGCGAGAGTTTACAGAAAACGGTTAGATTACTACTCTGTAAAGGGAGGCTAAAGCATATTTCATAAAATTATTAATTTGCTTGCCCTAAAACTCGCTATTATGATACTTGTAGTTTCATCACCAACTATATCTGTAACTGCCGTGTTATCAGCAGTTTCAAACCAAATGGCATGAGATACTTTGGGCCCTGTCTAACTACTTCGTACACTCACGGATATTGGAAGATATCCCTGTGCTTTTTCCAGAGTTTACTAATGCAACCTCAAATTCAAGATCCTTGTATCTCGCTGTTCTCTCCTGATTCCATTTACGGCTTAACCATCCTGTGACGTGAGGGATATTAAATGGACTTATGGCTAGTTTTTTATTGTTTTTATCTGTACTCTGTAACCTTTCATATAGAATAGGGCAGCAGCACATTACTGTGAATACGAAGGATTGGTAATAAAAAAAATGTTTTACATAAATAGGCAACAATTTGTTCACTATATTCTTTAAAAATTATGTTATATTAGTGAAGGAAAGACTAGCTAGCATACAGGACACTATATTATATTTTACAATATTTTTTGAGCTTCCTAAAATTGTCTTGATTTTTTTTAAATATTATTACCATATTTTATTGATTATTTAGTTATTTAATTTAAAAATTATGTTTGAAATAATTATATAAATTAAAACAAAATACTTCAAATTTCTTTTAAAATTAATATACTTGCTAGGAAAATGTAAAAAAGTAATTTAATTTTTAATATAAATAAATATCCATGTTTCAGTTTTCTGAAATTGTATAGCTTATTAATATCTTGAAAAGGCGTCTTCCGGAACAGACAGCAGATAATAATTACGATTCAAAGGTACGTTTAACTTTTATTATATTGCTTATCTTTATAAAATTATGTATTTAATTGTCCTTATCACATTGTAAACCCAACCTTTAACTAACGAGGTCATCGATAAGGGGCGTTGTACATCTTGCTTTACGATGTGTATACCCTCAGAGTTCACTTCAGTTCAGAAGTGAACTTGCTGGTTGGTCAGTACCCTCTAGGGGGGTTGATAGGCCTTTGAACCCAATACGAAACAGAAGTTACTAATTATAACGGCAACAGCACTTGTTGGATTACCTAACACCAACTGGGAATTCTAATTATCTGCTGAAGTAGACCTGACCAAATGTAAACAGTGTCAACACAATTATTCGCACACCCTCCGTCACTATGTGATGGAGTGCGAAAAGATACGTAAATTCAGAGACAATTCTATAATCAATGTTCCAGCAATGTGTAAATATTTCATTCAAAATGATCTGCTACCAGTAATTTTAGCCAAATATCCCCAGTTTGCTAACTGTAGGTAGTAACTGAGTGATTGTAACCTATCCACCGCTGCCCACTGGATGGGGGGCGGTGTGCAGGATAAACATATCAATTGTGACACTAGCTCTCCACATATGTCAGTTGCTTACCTTAGAAACTGTACTTGTGGTCGATCTCGAGCCCATTGATAATGTAACGACTTATACTGAATTTTGTAACTAACTCATCAAGATTGTAACTTGCTTAGCTAAATGAATTGTGGGGTTCAGTCCCTGAGCCCATTATGTGCCTCTGTAACCCTTTCCACTACCGCCCACAAGATGGGTATGGGGTGCATAATAAATAAACTAAACTAGCTAACTAACGATGCTTAGAAGAGCCTAAACAAAAAGGCCAAGAAAGAGCCGTAGGACAATAGTTACAAAAGACCAGCAACTACAGCCTAACCACCTGCTAGAGGCCCTTGTAACGACCCGAGACAAGCGCCAGTTGGGTTGTTAGAGGGGAGGTGGAGAGCATGGGCATAGAGGGAGCAACAGCCGCACGTTCTGTTATTTCACCTTTACGTAGGGGGGGGGGGAGGGGAGAGGGGGGGAGAAGGTGCGGCCGTTGGTAAGGGGGTCAACGGCACCTGTGTGAGGGTGCTCTCCTTCTCTCTCTCTCTCTCTCTCTCTCTCTCTCTCTCTCTCTCTCTCTCTCTCTCTACTCTATCTTGATTACCATTCGCAAATTTGTGTGTGTCATTTCAGTTATATATTGTCCTCTTTTATCTTACCATCTGCACCCACTCTCTCTCTCTGTCTCTCTCTCTCGTCTCTCTCTCTCTCTCTCTCTCTTCTATCTCTCTCCATCTCTCTCTCTCTCTCTCTCTCTCTCTCTCTCTCTCTCTCTCTCTCTCTCTCTCTCTCTCTCTCTCTCTCCCTCGTCAGTTTGTCCTTCCTCTCCCTACTTCATTGTCTCCTTTGTTTCACCTCTCCTCTGCTTCCATGTAATTAAAGTACTGTAAATTCTTGTAACCTGAAATTATAAATGTTCAACCATTTATGATAAATTGATACACATGTATGATCTTATCATTGACGATAAACACCCAAAAAACTTGAAGTTAAGAAAACATTTAAAACTAATTCATTCCACAGACAAACTTATACAAACCAAATACAACATACACACTGCAAGTATTCCCACGGTCATATATCATACACACACCATGCAGCTATGTACCCATGGTCATACAACATACACAAAGCACGCAGCTACGTACCTACGGCCATACATCATACCCAAAGCACGCAGCTACGTACCTACGGCCATACATCATACCCAAAGCACGCAGCTACGTACCTACGGCCATACAACATACACAAAGCACGCAGCTACGTACCTACGGCCATACATCATACCCAAAGCACGCAGCTACGTACCCACGGCCATACATCATACACAAAGCACGCAGCTACGTACCCACGGCCATACATCATACACAAAGCACGCAGCTACGTACCTACGGCCATACATCATACACAAAACAGGTTTAACACGGTGCCACTGACCTGGACTGTGGAATGGGTCACCAACAGGCGTAAATAAAGACCTTGTTGATCATTGTCCCAAGTTTCTCCCCCCTGTTCCCCTCCCTCCTCCTCCTCTCCCCTCTCTCTCTCTCTCTCTTCCAAGCGCTCTTTCCCTCTCTTCCAGGCCATTTCCCCTCTGTTCCAGGCGCTGTTCCATCTCTTCCAGGCCACTTCCCCTCTGTTCCAGGCGCTGTTCCCTCTCTTCCAGGCCATTTCCCCTCTGTTCCAGGCGCTGTTCCCTCTCTTCCAGGCCATTTCCCCTCTGTTCCAGGTGCTGTTCCATCTCTTCCAGGCCATTTCCCCTCTGTTCCAGGCGCTGTTCCATCTCTTCCAGGCCATTTCCCCTCTGTTCCAGGCGCTGTTCCATCTCTTCCAGGCCATTTCCCCTCTGTTCCAGGCGCTGTTCCATCTCTTCCAGGCGTTCTCCTGTCGTCCGGGGTACCTGTCCCCTCGTATGCCCTTGAACCGATGGTGACCTTAGCTCGCGTTATAAAAACCATGACGTCACTGATGAGAGAGAGAGAGAGAGAGGAGGAGTGAAAGAGGAAGGGTGAGAGGGGAGAGAGAGGAGGAGAAGGGGGGGGGAGAGTGAGAGCTACATACATTGATCCGCCGAGGCCTCACGTCCACCAGCGTGTGAGAGAAGAGAGAAAGTGAGAGAAGAGAGAGAGAGAGAGAGGGGAGGGGGGGGGTTTCTAGGAACTCCTGAATGGGATCCAATATATCCTCAGAAAGGTCAAATGCTATTTCTGAGGGGAGACTGAATCACGTGACCTCTTCCACTCGTGGGTTCGTACCCCTCGGCGCCCCCCTCGGCCCCCCCTCGGCTCCGCGCTCCCCTTCCCCCCCCCCCTGCTCACTGTTATCACTCTGTAATCTGTACCTGCTTGGAAACGGCTCCTGTTGTTGTTTCCGGTGCTATCTGTTGATGAGACTTCACACAGGTGAGTAACCATACCAATAACGTGTGTGTGGCACACGACAAGAGGTCATTCGGGTGAGAAGCTCTCTGGATTCTGTAGCACACGGGACTACGTCGTCATTTCATAAACCCCCCAAGTTCAGTCTCGGGCAGGTCGGAAACGATTGGGCATGTTTTCTTTCAATCGATGCACCTGCTCACCTAGCAGTGAATAAGTACTCGAGAGTTAGTTAGCTGCTGTGGGTTGTATTCAGTTGGTCAGTACTTTGCCTAGGAGGGACTGCTAGGACCTGGACCTAGGTGGGGGTGGGGTTGGGGGGGGGGGACTTCGAAAAATCCATCTTCGAGTCCCCGAGAACGGGACACGAACGTACAAGTCTTTAGTATATCTTAAGGAATTTAAGATATACGGAAGGAATTCCAGTTTCGTACCGGAGAGAGACAGCCAGAGGCCGGGCCGCTGGGACACCATTCACAGGCCCACGAGAGACACAGCCAGAGACCGGGCCGCTGGGACACCATTCACAGGCCCACGAGAGACACAGCCAGAGGCCGGGCCGCTGGGACACCATTCACAGGCCCACGAGAGACACAGCCAGAGACCGGGCCGCTGGGACACCATTCACAGGCCCACGAGAGACACAGCCAGAGACCGGGCCGCTGGGACACCATTCACAGGCCCACTAGAGACACAGCCAGAGGCCGGGGCGCTGGGACACCATTCACAGGCCCACTAGAGACACAGCCAGAGGCCGGGCCGCTGGGACACCATTCACAGGCCCACGAGAGACACAGCCAGAGACCGGGCCGCTGGGACACCATTCACAGGCCCACTAGGCAAAGATTCAATATTCCCGTTTTTCCTATTTTTTACACGGAAAACTTCACCTTTTGAAAATGATTTTTTTGTCCATTTTCGCTAAATTTGTAATTTAGTAAAATATTGGAGGTACAGTTGTTAAGGATAAGGATTAGGTGGTAGTGAAAGGATTAGGTGGTGGCGTAAGGACCAGGTGGGGTATAA